TCATAATTGTTTTTGTTTAAGACACACCGAGTGTATATAAATAGAGATTTCTTGATTGGGCATCCTTCAGTCTTGAGAGACAATGATAATGCGCTCTGTATGGAGGACTGGGAACAGCATCTAGTGTGGCTGAGAAGGTCAATTCGAGAGTGACAATCACTTCCACACCGAAGACAATTCAATCTGTCTTAGATAGAGATTTCTATCTTCCACAAAAAGGAAGAGATCATTCACAGAAGAACATCTCCAAAAGCCAGGACACACAGCCACCTATGTTTTGAAAACAAGTGGGAAGATGCATATGGACTAAGATCAGCTAGGAGAGAGCCATGGGAATAATGTAAATAAAAGCAGATAAAGATGGGTGAACTTTTATCTTTTAGAGAAAATATTTTTCTGTGTGTCAACTACATGCTTAGAGCTAAATAATGCTTTTGATTTTGTATATTTTTACTTTTAAAAGTTTAAATACTTTTTCATGCCTGTCATTGAAAACTATGAGGCCTTTTGCTTTTTATAGTTTTGTTCTTAAGAACTTTGAAATGTTATAGAGATGTATTCTCTGCCTTCATAGGCTATGAGCTCCTGTGTTTTAATTTTTTTTTTATATACGTTTGATTCAAGCTTACAACTGAGATGTATTTTCTGACATAAGTATTTGTTCAACAAAGCTTAAGTTCAGTTTTATGGATTTCAAAGTATTTTAAGCCTATTATTTTTGTATTAATTTTGGAATTAAGTATATGTGCCTACTGTTTTTTTCATAACTGTGAGACTGTCTTTGAGAGAATTTTGACTTTGCAATTTGTAAGCATGGAACTTAGAAATGATGTAAATAAATAGAACTTGCATAGAATTAACAAGTTCTGGGCCAGCCTGGAATTATTGCAGCAATGAAGACACTTATAATGAGATTCTCAGATGAGTTTACAAATAGCTTGTGACAGATTACTTGGTTTCCTTCTCATATTAACCCTTTGCTGGGATAATATCAGCTATGAAAAATCAGAGAATTTGTTTGGGGGAGTCAGTAGTCCAAATCAAGACCTGACAGGTTGGGTGATTTGTTGATGGTTGGTAGAATAAATTGTCATTACATGCTTCTTTGTTCCTAGTATATAGAATGATTAGCTTTAGAAATTTCTCTGATAATTTTTTCTGATTTGGACAGACTTGATAAACGGTAAAATACGATTCCCTGCTTTTCTCTAATATTGTTTAGGAGAGAAAATGGCATTGTTTTCTCCTTTCATATAATGCCTCTATAAAAGAAGCTAGATGTGCGTAGACCTATTTAATCTAGGGATCAGGATTTTGTGGCTTATATTACTTGAACTGAATGTGTGGTGCGCCTTTTCATCACAGCAGTGAAAAGTTCTCCATAGTTTTAGCTCAGGCCTCATAAACTTGAATTAAAAGGAGAAATAGAACATTTCCTGTTCCAAACACAGTAAGGTCACCTTGTTTTAGGACCCCAAGTTATGTTTTGTAAAATCTAAAAAGTAATAAAAGTGTATTAAATGTATGAAGCATGCTATGTTGTATTTGCTTTGTGCAAAATTGAACATTTAAAGCTACTTGGGTTCTGTAAAATCAGTTACAAGATTTTCTTCAAAGATTTCAAGTCATTTATTTGTAGGCATAGCTTGACAATGCTGTTTGAGGCAAATGCTTTATTTGCTAAGAAGCTTGTACTAATAATGATGATACCCTTCATCTTTGAGCTTGTAGGTGATCCCTTAGATCCCCATGCAACTCCAAAAGCACACAAAATTAAAACGGATCAAGTTTGATAACAAACAAGCAGGTTGAATCAGCAGGAATCTAAAGTACCTTCCAGCCTCAGTTGCCAATATGTAAATTAGGAATAACACTCTACCTGATAAAGCTAATCAGGAAAGCATAAATTATATTGAAATGGAAACTTGCAGCATTAGCTTTGATGAAGCTACTGATATATTTGTTTCTAGCTCCTTTAATCCCAATCAAAGCAAAAACAAAGCGTGCTGCTTATATACCTCCCCGTAGTGCTTCAAACATTCTCTGGGCGGTTTACAAGTTAATTATGCAAGCTACACATTGCCCCCCCACAGCAAACTGGGTACTCATTTTACCGACCTCAGAAGGATGGAATGCTGAATCAACCTTGAGCCGGCTAACTGGGATTGAACTCTGGGCCGTGAGCACAGTTTTAGCTGTAGTACAGCAGTTAAACCACTGCACCACAAGACTTTTCAGTGGTTCATATTTCTCTGCAGCAGTCACAAATTGATTAGATAGCAAATTTGGCAGACTATCAGAGGGCAAAACAGGGTACAGACTTTGTCTGTGGGAAGAGCCCCCAGGAAGGTTGCTGTGTGTAAGCCCCACTGTTCACATAACACACCCACTGTAGAAGTTGTGCAACTTCTGTTCTTCCCAGGGAGCTTGTTCAGAAGAATTATTTATTTATTTATTTATTTATTTATTTATTTATTTATACCCCACCTATCTAGTCAATTGTGACCACTCTAGGCAGCTTAATTAGTTAATATGTACGCAGTGAACAGTGTGAATCTTCTACCTCAGACACTAAAGTGAGCCAGTTCTATTTGTTTCTGTAATTTAGCTTGCTCCAAACATTTAAAAAGGTTTGGATGTACAGAGAGAAATTGCATAGCCTGGTATAAGTGTACATTGCACAGATAAAGAAATAGCTGCTAATGTGTGTATATGAAGAGCTGCATGTTACTGAACATATGAAGTCCTGTATATGGCTTCTGAGATGCTGACAAATGGGTTCCAAGATATAAACATGAATGATGAATGCCTTCTAGCATTTTCCCTATATTTGTTACTGCTACAACACACCTAAGATAGGATCCTGAAACTCTTACTTCTGTACTGCACTTTATGTTATGATCTGAGATTTTGTTTCATCCATCTTCTTTTTCTAGCTTACCAGGGGACCTGTTATTGGGCAGGTGGCTTATATATATTTATTATATATGGAGGAGAAGCTAATACACTAATAATAGAACCTCTTTAGCAGGGAGGAGAGACATCCTAAAGACATCACTTTGCTGTCTTTTTGTTCTGAATGTAAACACACAGAACAGAGTGCAGATTTAGATGATTTGGATCTTGTGCCTGACACTGAATGAATCATTCTGATATTTTGAAAACAAAATGTTTTTTAAAATTTAATTTTAGCAGTCTAGTGTAAATTTATTACAGTAATATACTTTTCAAATTAAAAAAAAAACCCAAAGAGAGAACAATGAGAGAACAAAGGCACAACATGTCCTATTCAATTAACAGAATTTAGTTCTATTATGGGTAGCAATAGATAGATTAATGGTAAAGGTTCCCCTTGACATTTAGTCCAGTCGTATCTGACTCTAGGGCACGGTGCTCATCCCCATTTCCAAGCTGAAGAGACAGACAGACAGACAGACAGACAGACAGACAGACAGACAGACAGACAGACAGACAGACAGACAGACAGACAGACAGACAGACAGACAGACAGACAGACAGACAGACAGACAGACAGACAGACAGACAGACAGACAGACAGACAGACAGACAGACAGACAGACAGACAGACAGACAGACAGACAGACAGACAGACAGACAGACAGACAGACAGACAGACAGACAGACAGACAGACAGACAGACAGACAGACAGACAGACAGACAGACAGACAGACAGACAGACAGACAGACAGACAGATAGATAGATAGATAGATAGATAGATAGATAGATAGATAGATAGATAGATAGATAGATAGATAGATAGATAGATAATTCCGTTCTATTATGGATAGCAATTTATGTATTTATTTTTAATTTCTAAAATTCTATTTTTAAAAAATATATTGTCTTCAAAATATCAGAATGATTCATTCAGTGTCAGGCACAAGATCCAAATCATCTAAATCTGCACTCTGTTCTGTGTGTTTACATTCAGAACAAAAAGACAGCAAAGTGATGTCTTTAGGATGTCTCTCCTCCCTGCTAAAGAGGTTCTATTATTAGTGTATTAGCTTCTCCTCCATATATACACTGTTTATTTCAATTATATCCCACCTTTCTCTCAAGAACAGGAGCCTTTAGAATAAAATATGATAATTGTCATTGTCATCTGTCAAGTCAATTCTGACATGGGTGACTTGTCCAGGGTTTTCTAGTTACAAAATACTCAGGAGTCATTTATTAGTCTCTACTTGTTGTGACATTCTGGGACTGTTAAATTTTCCCAAAGCTACCTGAGTGGCAGAGCACTTAATCTCAGCAGTCACAATTTCCCACGTAATTCAGCAGGACCCTCTCCCAGGAGATACAATGAGGATTCAAACTCCCAACCCTGGTTCCATAACCAGGCACTCCAACCCCCTGAAGTATACGAGCTCTAAAATAAGCAGAGTTAAAACACAGAAATGAATAAAAGTGTGAATACTACAATACAATGCAGGCTGTAACAATAAAATAAAATAAAATAATATTCCATCATTTATAGGTATGACATGATTATAGTTTTTAAGGTTGTGAAGAAACAATTTTTTAAGTTCTGTTGAATGATAATGTGTATAGTGGAACTATTTCATAACCTCAAAAATTATAAAAACTTTTTTCAAAATTGCAAAGAATCATGGTGTGATCAAATGTTTTATGAATAATAATTGCTATCTATAAGATAGCATAGGACAGTATGGGAGCTTATAACATAGTAGAGATAATACCAATACCTAAACCAGAATTTGTGAGAGAGTAACAATCTGAATTACTGAATCAAGGCAAAGAAAGGGGTTGCTAAATGGAGTTGAAAAATGTTTTAAAAAGTTTTTCTAGCTAAATGTGTATGTGGGCAATCAAGCAGCAAAACTGACATTTCTGAATAGAGAATGCAGATAGAAAGAGCTGCAGAATATGCTTTTTAAAGAGTAATAAGGTTTGCAGTGAAGCCATGTTTCAAATAAGAGTTATTTGTTCTTTTAAACTTAACTGAACATGCAGAGGTTACAGTAACTGAAAGCTCTGAAGATGACTATCAGTATGAAGAGGTAAGAAAGGAGCAGAATAGTTTAATGGAAGAGAGGGAGAAACAGAGAAACTGACAGAGCATAAGATTGGTAGAGAGCATCCCATTTGATTTGACCTTTCACAATGGAATTTAAAAACAAGCACAATGTCATGAAGGAAAACAATGCAGGAATATGAAAGACACCACAGAGTAAAACAACCGGAAAAATCACCAGTAACTGACCATTCCCTGAAATAAGCTGGACATGAAATCCTATTTCAAAACACAGAAGTACTGGACAACACCAGCAATCCTTATGTTAGACTACACAGGAAAGCCATTGAAATCCACAAACATCAGCAAAGCTTCAACAAAAAAGAAGAAATCCTAAAACTCAACAAAGCCTGGCGCCCAGCACTGAAAAATACAGCCTGCAAAAAGGTCAATGAACTCTACTCAGCCACATGTACCTGTGATCACTGTACACAAAAGAATAGCTAGCAGCACTATCAATCGCAGTGACAGATCATTAAGCCCCTTATCACAACAATACACTTGTAACAAAAAACACCTTTATCATCATAATCACCCAATCTCCTGAAAAGGACAAAAATCTGATCCCACAGCTACAAATACTCAAGTATCCCACACAGTACACCAGAACACAGACAGAGGTTTAACTAACTCCTGTCCTCTGAAGATGCTGGCCACAGACACTGGTGAAATGTTAGGAAGAAAAACCTCCAGAACATGTCCAAACATCCCAAAAAACCTACAACAACCAATGCAGGAATTGATGTTGATTTGCTAACCAGTGGCAGTTTCTTTTTTCTTTTTTAAAGAAGATGTGGCACACAAGCATTTGTGAAAGATTATGCATGGAGTGAAGCCACTAATTACAATTGTGTATTTTGGTCCAGGAATTTATTTAATGGATTGATTTTGCACATAGAGTTTCCAAGGATAATGTAATGCAGTGTAGAGTACCTTTTGTTGTTGTTGTTGTTGTTGTTGTTGTTGTTGTTGTTGTTGTTGTTGTTGTTGTTGTTGTTGTTGAGGACTACAGCCTCACAGGGGTAATCCCATGGGCCCTGTGTGTCTGTTGTGGTGAAACCAAAGCCATGGGGAGCAGAGTCATAAATGACTGTGACTATCCCTTTGCTCTCTTACTTTCTGCTCTACATTTTTGTACCCCTGATTCTCTTCCATGTCACTCAGCATGATGCTGGACAGAAAGAGATCACTTTTGCTGCATGTCCAAATTGGTCACTTGCTAGAAACCTTTTGAACATAGGCCCTAGGCCCGCAATTTTCCCACAATTATAATTCTTACCCCTAAATAAATACACTTACGAGTGGATAGAATGCACAAGTTGTGTATTAATTAAAATTGATGAGAAAAGATATTTTAGTTTCGGAGGCCAAAATACAAGGAACTGTGTTGTACTGAACTAAACTGTTGCTCTATCAGCTTATTATTGCTCTCCCAAATTGACAGTACTTCAGTGTCTCAGCCAGATGCCAGCTGAGTTTCTTATTTAATGTAGATAGTGGAGGTTTGAGCTAAGATCTAATAGATTAAAAGAAAGCTGTATCACAAAGCTGTGATTTCGCAGTTTTATGCATCCTTTCTTGAATTATGGCAACAGACTATGGTGGTAACTGATAGTACTAATTTAACATCTCTTTTAAATTATGACTTAGGTACCAACAGATGATGACTTTAACTTGCAAGAAGGTGATGAAGACCTGGCAAAAGCTTTATGCACTATGCAAGAACAGGCTGTTGATGCCCAAATTATGGTACAAATCTTGTTCTTCCAAATACCTTACCATGAATAATGAAAGGAAAGTTACTTTTGTGTTGTACAGTATAATGTAAAGACAATGGAGGAACAAAGGTGTTCACAACTGAAATTTTCAATTGACAAGGATGATAATGAGTTGTGGTTTCACAGAATAAGGCATACAACCTAGATATAATTGCATAATTGAAAAACAAGTGGTTTTTTTTAACCTAGTTCTGAATTTTACGTTTGTCATGAACCAATGGCCACAAGTGTTAAAATTTGCTGTTTTCAGTTAAAACCTTTCCACCTTAAACTTTTTCTTCAGATACTAACATTTCTAATTCACTAATGTGTATGTTTTTTTGTTTAGTACATTCTGAAAGCTTATTTGGGCAAGAATATATTGAAAGTATTATATCATTGGTAATACAACCAAACTGTGATACTTTGGCTATGTCATGAGAACACAAGAGTCACTGGAAAAACAGGAATGTTAGGAGTGGAAGGTAGTAAGAAGATCAAGACCTTATGAGAGATTGTCAAGGTCAAATGTAATGTAAGCCACTCAAATTAATTCCTCAAAGCATTGTAAGATTTATAACACTCTTTGGTAGTTCAAATCTCTAGGGATTTGTTGCAACTGACATTTATCCCTGACAGAGTTAATTTCAGTGTGATATCAGATAACCTTCTTAATCATACCAGTGTTCATCTGGATATCAAAAGTAAAAATATTTTACATGCTCTATCTCTCTTTAGAGGATGAAAACAAAGTAAATCTTTTCTAGACATCCCTGACATACACAGTTTACTCTTTCCAAATAGAAAAATGATTCAACTCTAGCTAGATTATTTCTATGAGCTTAATTTATCTAATGCATTAAAATAAAAAAATAATAATTCAAAAATTATTGAAAATATGTAAGAATACTGAAGTCGGAAAAATTAATTTCAGTTTTAAGTTTGTAGGTATAAAATTACAGATGAGATAATTATACTTCAGTCTGGGAATACAAGAGCTTGTAGCATTAAATAACACAATCAAAACTCAAAGAGAACATTTCTAAGATATTTTAAATTAAATAATAAATAAATTAATTAATAAGTAGATTTCGGTGCAGTTCTCCAGTGGTGGAAAGGTAGGGAGCTGGCTTCATTGCTTGTATGCAATTTAAAATATTTATACACCTCCTTTCCCCCCTAAGAAGACATAGGTGAATATTGTGTACACAATTGCTTGTAAGAACCCCTTTCCATGAAGTAGAGCCAGACAAGCCCCCTGGTTCACCAGGGAGCTGGCAGTGATGAAACGGGTGGGTTGGAGAGAAGAGTGACGATGGCGGAAAACTCAGAGTGAATCTGACCAAACACGGACTAGAGCCTGCTTGAAGGCCTATTCTGTGGCAATGGCTGAAGCAAAGAAAAGGTTATTTGCTGCTGCATTGCATCTGCATAAAGTCATCCAGTGAAGTTGTTTCAAGTGGTCAGGGGCTTAGTACCAAAAGAACAAAATATTGACCACTCCACAACCCACTGTGAGGAATTTGCACGACACTTTACAGATAAAGTCACTTGGATCCGCTCTGTCTTGGATGCTGTAATTGATACAGACCCAGAGGATGTAAGTTTGGCCCTGGTTTGCCCTGTTTTAATGGATACTTTTCAGTTGGTGCAGCCTGATGATGTGGACAGGATTCTTAGAGAAGAGAATTCCACCACATGTGTGCTGGACCCCTACCCTTCCTGGCATCACCAGTGTCCGTGTACTCTACAGTCATCCAATGTGGTCCATTGGCAACCTTACCAACTTGGCAACCCCATCAACACCGACAGCAGGCTCCACAAGCTCCATATCAAGCCCACCTCCATGCTGACCTTGTCGACATCAAGAATCCTCTATATTGACCTCTTGCCATGGAGGCACTTTCAACATCAACAGTCCTCCCACTCCCAATATCAAGACAAACAGCCTTACAACACCACTGTCGATCAACAGTCAGTTGATTCACCTCATGGTGTTGATTCTTCAGAACAATGCTTGAGGCCCCAAACACTATTAGTACTCTTTAACATCACCAGATTCTGACCTGGGAGATCCGGACCCATAGTCTCCTTCATATGGCTAAGTCTCTCAAGCTCCAAATACATAGACCCACTGCTCAACCATCGGACCATCTTTATGATCCAATTTCTAAGGATATTACTACAGTGCTGAAATAGATGACATTCTTGAGAATGTACAAAAGAAGCGAACAGCTGCCAGATGCTGGAGAGTTTACCCTACATACCAGCAACATCCACAATGCACACAGTGGTTTTGTCTATACATTTCCTATCAGAGTTTTCAACATGAACCTCAGAGGCAAACAACCATTGCTCTTTACTACAAACATTAGTCCCTCTGTACCAAGAACCGGCAGCAAACTACAGTCAGATGCTACGATTGCAAACCTAAGCACTGGGTTTGACATCATTTTGCCTGAGATCTTGCTACTAACTCCCACCCCCACCTACTTTCCCCTAATCTTTGGAAACTCTTGCGTGGAGAAACATCACCCCAGATGCCTGGGTCCTCTCCATCATAGAGTGGGGGTACCACATAGAATTCCATCACCTTCCTCCACTGTCTCACTAGTTCACACCTCCATCGCTAACTCTACAAGACAAAATACAATCCTTATTACTCAAAGACACCACAGAGCCTGTACCATCACACCATATAGTCACAGTTTCTCTCACACACTATTGCACTGCCCCCCAAAAAAGACAGCAGCCTCTGCCTAGTTTTCAACATTGGGCATAAATCAATACATCAATACCACCAAATTTCACATGGTCACCTTTGAGTCCATTCTTCCACAAGTCCACAAGAAAGACTGGTTTGCGGTAATTGATTTATGAGATACCTACTTCCACATTTCCATCAATCCAGCTCATTATTTGTTTGTTTGTTTGTTTGTTTGTTTGTTTGTTTGTTTGTTTGTTTATTTA